AATATATGAAATGAGCATATCAAAAATACACAGTCTATACTACTACCTATATATGTTAAACTTTTTAATGTTATATTGAATTCTGGTCGTGTACCAGAAGCATAGACAATTGGAGTAATAAAACCCATATACAAAAAGAAGGGTGACCCTAAAAGTCTCGATAACTATCGACTGCTAGTATTTACTGCTATTTTGAACTCTAGATTAAATAGACTTTCAGAAGAAATTGATCTAATTTCCAATGTTCAAGCTGGTTTTACAGCTTTTTACAACTGAAAATATATTTATCCTTCATGCTTTAATATCTATATACTTTTCAAAAAGTAAAAAGCTTTTCTGTTCATTCATCGATTTCAGAAAAGCGTTTGATACTGTTTGGAGGGTAGGTTTATGGAAGAAATTATTAAAAAATAATATCACAGGAAAGATATTTAATGCTTTAATTAATCTGTATGCAAACACTAAATCTTGCGTAAAAACTAGCAATGGTATGACTGATTTTTTCACATGTCACGTCGGGGTAAAACAAGGTGAAAATCTCTCCCCATTTTTGTTCTCAATATATTTAAATGATTCAGAAGAATTTTTAATGCAAAATAATGTTGACCATTATATAGATAATTTATTTCAAGATCGCATGGGTATATTTTGTTAAATTATTTATTCTGTTATATGCAGATGACACAGTTGTTATGTCAGAAACAGCCAAAGGTCTACAGAATGCTTTCCGTGAATTTGAAACTTACTGTACTATTTGGAAACTTAAAGTTAATCTCACTAAAACTTAAGTTGTTATCTTTGAAAAAAGAAAAAGTAATGCACAAATTATTCGTTTTACTCTTTTTGGTGAAGAGTTGCAAACACATGACAGTCGTTTATAGGACTGTTGTTTCATTATAATGGCAGTTTCTGTAAAGCAAGAAAAAAACTTGTTGAACAGGCTCAAAAAGCAATGTATGCATTATATAAAAAAAATAGAAATATTATTTTACCAATTAACTTACAGTTGAAATTGTTTGATGTATTAATATCCCCAATCCTCTTGTACTCCTCAGAAATTTGGGGGTTTGAAAATACCAATATAATTGAGAAATTACATGTACAGTTTTGTAAAAGAATTTCAAACATACGTAGCTCCACATCAAATATAATGGTATATGGTGAAACGGGTAGGTACCCTCTGAATATTGAAATTAAATCTAGAATGATAATGTTTTGGTATAAACTAATTACAGGTGAAAATAAATTCTCTAGTATAATTACAAGCTTATGCTGTATTTACATGAAAATGATTTTGCTGATTTTAAATGGATTTCATATATCAAGAATCTATTCAATTGCACGGGACTAAGTTACGTATGGTTACAACAAAAAACTTGCACTATGAATAAAAATGACCTTAGGGTTAGTTTTAAAACTATTCTGTATGACCAATTTATACAACAATGATATACTGATATTGAAAATTCTTCCCGGGGTCAAACATATGCAATATTTAAACATCGATTTCAGCTTGAAAAATACTTAACTATGCTCAAACAAAAAGATAGAATAACTATCTGTAAGTTCAGAACCAGTAATATATCTCAGCCTATAGAGACTGGGCGATGGACTAGAACACCACGTGAAGGCAGAATCTGTCCGCTTTGTTTTACTGGAGTTGGAAGCGAGTATCATTATTTGTTTATATGTTCAAATGCTTATGTAAGTCAAATCCGCAGAAAATATATACCTATTTATTACACCTCTAATCCATCTGTTCATAAAATGAAAGGATTAATATCAATATGTAATGTTAGAATATTATCAAATCTATCGCTGTTCATACAATTACTAGAAAGACAATTAAAAAATAATATGTGAATTTCACACATCAAACTGTAAACTTTTGTATACATATAGATATTACTGATCATTTGCTAAACCTAACATAATTGTATTGCATAATGAGTGTGGTTACAGCTTGCTTATCA